CGTGTAGAAGAAGCTACCAGGAGCTGTCAACGTTTGCTGATCTTGGGAGGCTGGCTAGTAAGACCGTGAGTAGTTTATTGCTGTTTTTGGTGTGATTTTGTGACTGCGGTAACTGAACGTTTCAGGGGATTTAGAATCTCAATACAGTCCACTATATCTAATAAAATAATCCCAATCCGCCACACATATCTTACCAGGTCGTCACTCCATCTAGTGGGGGGACGCCCTACACTTCGTCCGCCGGTACGAGGCCGCCACTCGAGAACCTCTTTTCTCCAACGGTTGTCGGTTCTTCGAGCTATGTGGCCGGCCCATTGCCACTTCAGCTTACTAATCCTTTGGGCTATGTTGGTTACTCTGGTTCTACTGCGGATATCCTGAATTCTAAGTTTATCACGCAGAGAAACTCCGAGCATAGCCCTCTCCATAGCTCGCTGAGCGACCTTGAGCTTCCTCATACGGCCTCAGTACCATAGGTCATCACTGGCAACACGCACTGGTTGTACAGTCTTGTTTTCAAGTTTTGAGGTATGCCTGACGAGAAGATGTGCCGTAATTTCTCGAACGCTGCCCAACCGAGTTGAATCCGCCGATTGACCTCTCGGTCGAAGTTGGACTTTGAACATGATCTTTGTTTTGTCCATGTTCATCTTAAGACCTATCCGTTGGGAAACACTATTGAGGTCATTAAGCATAGTGCTTAGGTCCTCCAGTGATTCTGCATATGGACTATATCATCGGCAAATCGAAGGTGAGTGATGTACTCGCCATTGATGATAATACTGTATCCTTTCCAGTCCAGAAGCTTCAGATATCACGTTACCCTGTCTTACACATCTCTGTAGTTGGATAGGTTTCGTACTCTGGTTCTGTACTCGGATAACCATCGTAGGCCTACTGTACAAGCACTTCAGCACTTCGATATACGGACAGTCAACTTGGCATCGTTGAAGGGACTGCAGCACCGCCCTAATTTCGATGGATGTGGTCTATGGTGCTAAAGCCTTTTCGGAAACCGGCTTGTTCGGGGGGCTGGAAGTCGTCAAGTCTGCGCGCGAGATGATTAGTAATGACTCTCGAAAACAGCACGTAGACGCGGCTCAGAAGGGAAATCGGTCTGTAGTTCTTCAAGAGAGCGTTGTCACCTTTCTTGAAGAATAAGACCACCGCACTTCTGCGGAATTAAAGAGCTTCTGAAAGACTTCAAGTACCGGTTTTCCACCCGCTTTCAGAAGCTCCGCTGTAATTCCATCCTCGCCTGGAGAATTGCCGTTTTTAAGGTGCTGGAGAGCCATTCTAATCTCGCTCAGACTGACGTCCTTGATTTTCGATATAATACTAATTATTAATTTTTATTAATGTGCTTAATTCGTATTTAATCCTCTTCCAGTAGCTTTATGCTTATCTGATAAAATGAACTAAAACGTTGTTCGTCTCTCGTAAATTCGACATTCCTTTTGTAAACTATCGATAACCTTAATTAATGTGCACGCAGTGGCAAAATTAAATTAAATTTATATCATACTAGATGGTACTCATCGCGTTGCTGCCGCAGAAGAAATTCGTTACATTATGTAGATAATTATGTAATATATTTGACATGAAATAATTATTATATTAATATAATGTTATTCTACTAAGATATTAAACGTATTTTTATAACGCCTTCGATACTTTTCACAGGTTTTTCATTACGTCACATGGGCCAAATGTACGTTCAACACATCGTGTTCTGCGGCATTAAAGTGTACTGAAATTGTAGTAACACAGACGTAGAACCTATAAAATCAAAATGAGCTGTGTATAAACAAGAAAAGTAATAGTATGATAGTAGATAGTATAATATATTATAATTATATATGATTATATAGTACTATATTATAATTATATATAGAGACATATGCCCGGCGCGCGCTGCAATAATCGAAATGGGATGTTTAGAAAGGCATAGACTAACAAACAAACGTAATATATTATTTTCATAACGATTTCTTATATTTAAGTGGATACTACACATGGAACAAAACGTATTTACGGATTTTGTCGCGTTTGAATTGGAGTATTTTTTTTAATTCCCCACGTTTTGAGCACTTTTTAGAATCCACGGTTACGGGGGACTGAGACCTTGACGTCCTATTATCATATTTAACGAAGGCACTTTTGGTCCGATTTACGCAGAAAAAACTTACAATATTTTGAAGTCTTGCTGTAGTATGTTTAAAAAAGCGTATTGTAAAAATAATGAGTAATTAAATTCTAGAAGTAAGCATACCTTCCTCTCCATTAAAGTGCACCTCACAAACATCCAAGGCCTGCACTGTAATCTCAATGCAGTCCATTACCACCTTGAGACTGACACTTTCTCTTCTTGACTGAGACGCAGATCAGATGTCCTCTAGATGCGGCGTACCTTGGCTAACCTGGGTACAGATTGGAGCATGATTTCCATCAGCGCGCGGGACTCTGTATTTACGTCCGCAACAACATCTGCTGTAATCGTCTCCGTCACCTTGAAGACCCCTCTTTCTCTGCGATATGGGTATTGATGGACACAGGAATGGATAAAATTGTTTATTCTTGTGTCTACCGATCGCACAGCGGTAACCAGGAGACAACTAGGTTGTTTGAATATCTCAGTGAAGCCTCTTACGTGGCTCTAAATCGGTACCCTAATGCACTGTTGGTTTTTCTGGGGGACTTTAATGCCTGTCATCAGGACTGGCTGTTCCCATATCAAAAGACCGACCACGCTGCGAGAGAGGTGTGGAATTTTGCCTTGTCGCTGGGGCTCTCCCAGCTGGTGTAACAAGAGACTAGAGTACCTGATGTGGGCACATAGCAATTGCCTCGACCTTCTGCTGACGACCGATCAAACAGGTACGATGTTCAGGTAACCTCACCCTTCGGAACTTCTGACCACTGTCTGGCGAAATCAGTGTCGCGTGTGCGAGCGTGCTAAGAGGCTCATTGGTCAATCTTGTCAACCTCAAGCACAGGCGCAGAATAGCCAGTCTCTCGGTATTCTATAGGATGCATTTTGGTGAGTGTGCGCAGAAATTACACGCTTTAATTCCTCCCTCTCCTTTCCACCATCGGACAACCAGGCGGTCGGTGGGTCTTCATCCCTTTGTCATCAATATTTCACGCATTAGAACCAAACGGTTTGCTTCGTCTTTTGTAATGCGTATAGCAAAAGAGTGGAATAATTTGCCGGCGTCCATCTTTCCGTCCGAATACAATCTGGGCGTCTTCAAGGCAAGAGTGAATAAGCTTTTGTTACGATAAGACAGTGCGATTTACCATCTAAGGCTACATCACCACTTACCTTAGGTGGGATTGTGGTCAAGCACTGGCTTATAATAAGTTCTTTTTTTTTAAAAACATTACCCCACACTAAGATTTTCTCTTGTATCGTGGAGGCAGTTTACAAACACAAATTTCACAAGGACAAACATCCAGACCCGGAACAATTATTTGTAGGCCATACAAATACTTTTTCCGTGCGGGATTCGAACCCGCGCCCCCCAGCGCTGCAACTCATTGCTAAGCCACTTCGCCACGGAACCGTCAAAAAGTAAAAAATACCTGTGTAGAGATTTAGCGATCCTTGTTACTGGTAACGGGATCTGCAATTCCAGTCCTCAGGGTTGACGACGAAATTTTGATTCTTAATAGAGGATTGGTATATGTATCTGCGGGCCGAGCATCCACTTACCATCAGGTAGACTGGGTGATTGTTTGTCACCCTTATTCTATTAAAAATATCTGGGCAAAATCACTGCAAACAATGGAAACGTAAATTTAAAAAGAAAGTATGCTTTTATCAAATAAGTAGCTCAACGGCACTCAAATGAACATCTTACACACTGAAATGTTAGGCTTAATTTTTGTAATATAGAGGTAAATATAGAATTTTTCAATAGTGGTTCTCAAGAAAGAAAAGTTTATTTTTATGTGTCCATTAAGTTATAAGTATTACGTGCATAGTACATATATTATATGGATGTATGTGACTGATCCTCTAGGTCCCGTTACATATGGCATTTTTAACATAAATTTTCTTCTATATCACAAATGGGCGTAATTCCGGCTCCACTCTGAAAGTATGTATTTTTTTTAATAAATGATTTATGTTGTTATTAAAAATAATGTTTTATAAAAAAAGATAAACTTTTTGTAAGGGCCGTATCCAAAACTCAAGTGATTTTAACCTATAGAAACATTAAATCGTTGATCCAATTAAGTAGGTAAGTGTGACAAATGAAATAAGTATTTAACAGTTCTTTACTGAACATGCTGTTGAACATTTACGTATCTACGTGGACGAAAATGTTAAGTACTTAAAAAAAGATTACGCTGTAAAATATTTTAATGACGTTGTTTTAAGAGACTTTGCAGAAATCGCTCCGCCGTGCCAGTGCATGTCGGTGTTATTTTAGTAATTACGAGTACGTTGAATATTTTAAATTAAAATATTTAAAGTAGATTCAAAGAAATGTTAGTATTTATTTAATAAAATAAAAATAAATACTAATATTTACTACAGTGCTACACAGACATCTGATTCTCTTGCTACCTCTGACATGACAGATGTACAGTAGTACTTAATGGTGGTCCCATTTGGAGCCATGAAAAGCAAAAACATAAATATCTCAACCGGAGAAATACGAATTTCTCTTAGGGACAAAAACCGCAACAAAGATATCTACAGAAGGAGAAAAGTATAGCTCTCATATAAAGTCATAGCTCAGCGGATCACTGAGCTGAAGTGGCAAGGAGCCGGCCGGCCGGTGAATCTTGAGTGGGAGCCTGGTACTGGCAAGCGCAGTGTATTTCCTCTTTTATTTATGTTTTCACTTTTCCGTCATTTATAACGGGTGTTTTGATGTGATATCGTGTCCATAGTGGTTAAGAAAATACTCACACGTTTACGTTCCGAAGTTTGAATGTGTATTTTACTAATGATAGCAAATTTATATATGTTTTTTTTTTTGTTTCAGTTGCCGTTTCTTTGAATATCACTATGTTAATATGTAGTTCTCTCGGATTTGTTGCTTGTGTAATCCTAGTCATAGGTGTATACAAGGTATGTACTGTGAACTCAATTAATACAAATCATACCTTAAAAACCCTATTTAAAAGTGAAAATAAATTTTGATAGTTATTAAAAATTCGGTACATTAGTAACTGAATTAGACGGTCGTAGCTCCAGTGATCAACTATTCAGTCGAAAATGCTGAATTCAAATATGAGGGGCAGGGAAAGGGTTTTGGGCTTAGGCTTACCAATACGTTTGCCTGGCGTAGTGAGATTGCGTCAAATTTTTAAGTATCTTGCCATCTGGCGCATAAATCCAGCAGTGAACTTAATAAACCTGTTTGTAATATATAAAATTGTAAATGTCCTAAAACTCGCACATAATATACTTTCTGTAATTCTATACTTCAGGAGGCAATAAAATGTACTACCTATATTATATAATAATCAGTAATCTAAAACGCTTTTCAATACGTTAAAATATGGTCAAAAATTCTACAACCATCAATCGGAATACCAAGTCCCGATTGACAGTAATTTCGATAGGATTTGATTTTTAAAAAGTTCATAGCAAAACTCTTGCATACAGATATCGCTACAATGAATAAATAGTAAACGGCAAACAACTTTACAATTATTATATAATATCAACGAAACTTGAAGCAAAAATATGTATTGTTTTTTAAGTAATCACAATTATCACGTTAATAATTATTCACTTCGATTTTTCTTCTAAGTATTATTTGATAAACCTACCTATGGTTATTTCACATAGTTCTTACATCAACACCTTGCTTTGTGATATCCTGTGAATTTATTGTCTGCTTGCTATAAACACATTTTCTAGTGCATCAAACACTACCAAGGGGTGATCCCGTTACTATTCTACTTATGTTAATTTGACCTTTATCCAGATGTCACGGTGTTAACCATCTGGTTTAGTTAATCTTTTCACTGGATAATCCTTTTAAATAGTTTAATGCTACAATTATAATACGCATAATATTGATTGTGATTATCAATATAAATAAACAGAAAATTGACTTCGATTATTTTTCAGGATATAAAATATATGCTTCTGCCGTGGATCATCGCAATGGGACTTGAAATTCTTGGCGAAGTAATCAATTTTGTCTTTCTATTTTATTTGCGGATTGTAAGTAATAAACAAAACCAGGTAAGTAAGTTTTGATATTGTTTATTATATTTAAATATTATTATTTTCATGCTACTAATAATTTTATAAGATTTAAATAAGGTATCATATTAAACATAATATTGTCACATGTTATTAAGATCCTAGCATAATATTATAAAGCCAGTTAGCACATATGTTTGCTGTGTTCATAATGTTAAGGTTTAATCTCAAACAAATTTAAAATATAAAGTAAAAATTTTTTGGTTGTAAACTGACAATGCGTGGTTTTTGACACAAAGGGAAGATTTTTAAATTCTGAGATAAAATGTCTAATCCAATAAACTATCTATGAATATAATTTTTTAGCTGATTAACTGTGTTGTCTATATTTTATTGTGATTTTTCCAGCGGATAGCTATCCCACCAATGTTTTGCAATGTATAGCAAAGCTAACTTCTGGGATTTGTAAGAAAAATTGTACAAGCAAACGTGCGGTCAAGACAATTTATTTCTATTTTTTTTTATAGGATAAGGGTGACAAACGAGCACACAGTCCACCTGATGGTAAGTGGCTGCTGCGGCCCATAAACACCATCATCTATCCTCGTTTGCGAATCAAAATGCAGATGCGTTGCCACCCGTGAGGACCAAGATGGAATGCCTCATTTCCAGTAAAAAGGGCCTCCACCCACCTGCAATCACAAAGCGAAATGCAGAGGTAAACCTCTACTTCACGCTGGTATTCTGTGAGGTCGTGGTACCACCCCGATTCGAGCCGGCCCATCCGTGCGACAGCAAAAGCTGCCGCGTGGCTCTTTTACTGCCACTTCGTGACTGTTAAAATTATTCTATTTTCAATTAGACAAAAACGTCACAATGCAGTATAAATTGTCAGTTTAAATCGAGGTTATGTTTTGTTAAAAAAATAATCTTTCTCATTTTTTAAATATTACCCTCACCATTAAATTCACCCACATACATAAACACATGCATGCACGCATGTAAGTACACCTGACCGCCTACGCGCTCGGCCTCATGCACGCTCGCACGCTCTAATGCCCGCCCGCCCGCCTGCATGTCCACCCGCCCGCGCGACCGCCTATTTGCCTGCATGCACGCACATACACACACATACACTAACTACACACACAACTAAAAAAAATATTAATTCCTGTTAGAATGTGATTGAATACTACCGAATTCGAAAAAAAATGTAATTAACGCTTGTAGCACCAGAGGCGACGAACTTTTACAGTATAAAAACTATTTTATTCGTAGGGCAAGCCACAAAATTAGAAACGTATCTACGCTAGCTATGTCAATTCTATAATTAAAGGAGTAAAAAAATGAATGTCGGTTTGAATTAATAGACCTATAAATATTTATTTTTAATAGAAATAATACAATTAAAGTACTTAATAATAATATTGTATAATATATTTATTATGACACAAACGGCATTACATCTATGACATGGTTACACAGCATAAAATTTATGCCACTGCAGCGAAATCTCGATAAGTTTTTTCAAAAATGATTTTATTCAATTATACTCAAATTTAGTATTCAAATTAAGGTCAAATAATGTGTTACAGTTTGTATGAAAAGCTGGCTACTTTGCGTCTGTGCTCGAGGCTAGTATGATTGGTTTCAACCAAATTCGCATCACCAATAAGCCTCTTAGCACGCCTTTCCTTTGATTCCAAAGCTGTTAGGTGGCATTTTGCAGCACCAGCCCACATATGGCAGCAATACTCCATGCACGTCCGGAATTGCGCTTTATATAAAGTAGCTGTCCCTGCGTGAAGTATCGCACCTTGGCAAGGACTCCCAGCTTCCTTGCAGCTGCTTTGGCCTTGGGCTCAATGAACTTTGCCGACGATATAATCCTTATGGCAGAATCACTGGAGGACCGAAGCACTATCCTTAATTACCTTAATAGTGTCTCCAAAGGATAGGTCTTAAAATAAACATGGTGATTTTATATCCCGAAACTCTTCACCGCTGCATTGGAAGACGTTTTCAAGCTACTGGACTGGAAAGGATACGGTATTAACGACAATAACGAGTACATCCGAATAATGTAGTCCTTAGGTCTGCGCAGAATGCATGTGGACTATGAGAAAGCCTTTGATTCTGTCGAAATTTGAGCGGTGCTGCAGTCCCTTCAGCGATGCCAAGTTGACTGTCGGTATATCGAAGTGTTGAAGTGCTTGTACAGTAGGGCTACGATGACTATCCGAGTACAGAACCAGAGTACGAAACCTATCCAATTGCAGAGAGGTGTAAGACAGGGTGACGTCATATCCCCGAAACTCTTCACCGCTGCATTGGAAGACGTTTTCAAGCTACTTGACTGGAAACGATGCGGTATTAACATCAATGGCGAGTACCTCACTCACCTTCGATTTGCTGACGATATAGTCCTTATGGTAGAATCGCTTGTCATAAACTCAAATATGTTATGAAAACGTTAATATTTTAAAATATACTTCAGATTAATACCAGTATTTGCCACAAGGAACTGGGATACAGTAAAAGTTATTATTAATTATTGTTATTTTTAATGAAAACAGATGATTTTACTCTTCCATTTTATTAAGCAAACTGTTGTGAATCAGGCGGAGTCGGTGAGAATGTTGCTCTTCTGTTTTAATTTCATAAACTCGAGTGTGTCAACCCGAGTCAGTAAGAAGGTTGCTCTTCAGTTTTATTTGATAAATGTTCATCTATCAAGCCAAATTGGTGAGCACGATGCTCTTCAGTTTCGTTTGAACAACGCTTGTCTACCCGAGTCGGTGAGAAAGTTTCACTTAGGTTTTTTTTTTAAAAAATCGCTCGTGTATAAACCCGTTTTGATGAGAACGTTGCTCTTCAGTGTCATTTGATAAATAGTCGTGTTAAGCCGCGGTTGAATAAATGTTCGTGTATCAAACCGAATCGGTGAGAACGATGCTCTTCAGTTTCATTTGAAAAACGCTCGTGTTTCAACCCGAGTAGGTGAAAAAATTTCACTTGGGTTTCATTTGAAAATTGCTCGTGTATCAACTCAAGTAGGTGAGAACGATGCTCTTCATTTTCATTGAATAAAAGCTCGTGTATGAAATCGAGTTGGTAAAAACATTACTCTTCACTTTAGTTTGATAAACGCTGGTGTTTCAAGCTGATTTGGTAAGGACGTAGCTGTTCCGTTTCATTAGGTAAGCGCTCGTGTATCGGACAGAATCGCTTAGTATGATATCTTGGACTTTCATTATGTCTGTGGGAATTCGGGTAAGACCTCATTTGCGACTCCCTTTTAGGATTCTTATTGAATTTTTAACCTTATGTTTTCTCAAACGATCTCTCATTTCATCATTTGTTTGCTGCAACTGTCGTTGTCTCATTGGAGCAGGGCGTTAAGAAGTAACTCCTTAGTTAACTCCTTAGAGTATATTACATAAGCAAGATATAATTATGTATAATTTAAGCATAACAGAAAAATTAAAAAATAAAGTAACTTTTCCAAAAAAATAAGAACCTACTTCAAAACTTTGAAAACACTACTAAAATGTTAAAATTAATATTTTATGGTTGCTAAGTAAAGAAGTAATTTATAAGGAAAATTACAATTATTTTTATTTAAATATTGACAGTCAGTACAATCAGTATTTTTCGGAGTTGGTGCCAGCCAAGGTATGAAAAACAAAAGATAAACTTACGAGATGTCTATTTTAATAACATAACATATAAAAATAACAAAATGGAGGTATATATCTTACACATTGTTAAAAACCTAAAAAGAGTAAGAATTTAATCCTACCAGAAACCTTTTTATATCTATTAAGATATGAGACAAGATAAGAGAACAAAAAATTATCGAAACTTACGATAGCCGAACGGTACTAGATACCTATTTGAATCTATTAAGAGATATGAATACAAATGAAAGAAGATTGAAATAAAAACTAACGAAAGCGAATAATAGTCAACAAGCAAAATAAAAATTCAGTATGGGAGACCGGGTACAAAAGTAACGGCGGGTCGAAAGTAACTAATGCTCTGTAGGTTTATCCAATAGCCATACGCTGCTATGTTGCCGTAAGGTGATAGCCGGTGGTGACCCTCTCACTTGCATTAAGTCGCCGCGCACGCTACGCGCTGTTAGGTTGAGTGAGAGGACGGTATGTGATGTCACAAATCAAAAGTAAGTTTTTTAACGTTTTCTTATTTAATGTTATCGTGGTCTTAAAAAGATAATACCAATTTCAGTATTTCCTTATAAATTCTTGATTAGATTGATTACACAGTGGTTTAATTCGTTTTTGTCTGGCACGTTCCGTTTTAAGGCTATTTCATGCTTTAATAAAAATGTGGTCGGGTACAAAAGTAACATAGCCCTATGGGTACACCAGTAACATGTTACCTTTATCCTCGAATTGATTTATTTACATAATATTGTTATGTGAGTATTTATTTGAACAGAATGCCGCGACAATGCATAAGAACTACCACACGAGGAACTACTGATACGGAAGTGTTCCGAAAAGAGGCTGAAGATCATTCCAAAGATAGTACAAAATTAATCCCTGGAAAAAATATTATGTTTGTCATGTAACATTATAACAAAAAAAAATTAAAGCAGGAAATACTAGCGCATTTGTGGGTTACCGTTGGGTCAATCGTGTTTTTACTATCGATGAGGGAAAATGTCTACAGGACTATTTGATCGAGTGCTTTGGAGTTTATTTTGTGTTATCTCCATCTGAAGTATGTAAACCGGCATATGAGTAGGCGATAAAGGATGGAAAAACATTTCCTGAAAAATGGCACGATACTCAAATGGCGAGTAAGGAGAGGTTAACAGGTTTTTTAAAACGACACCTGAGCCTCTCTGAGGTGAGCAACAAGCCTGTCGCGGGCCTTGAGTTTCAACGAACATTATATGAAATCTGAAAAAATAAACGCAATTGAAGCTTTCCTCGCTCAAAGGCTAAGTATAGCCATTCAGCGGGGAAACGCAGCCAGCGTTCTTGGCACGATACCGCGGGGAGTAGGACTATATGATAATTAAGTTTCTAGTTTTAGTTTTTTTTTATTATCATAGTTTTTAATATTGTAGATACTATTAAGTAATATATATAATATATAATATAATAAATATAAGAATATTGGAGAAGAATACCAACAAATAAATAAATCTAAGAAACGTTTTTACAACCCGATACTGGAAATGGCAAGAGAAAGTTGATATCTACGAAGGGAAGGGAAAAGGAAAAAAGACAAAGAAGGCAGCTAAAAGTAAGTAAAAAAAATTTACGACGTAGATTGCTTCTATCTCATTTGTTTAGAAACTTTTAACAACAGTTGACCAAATGAGCAATGGATACAATTTACCAGGTGTAATATGTGGTCACATGCTGAATGCGTCAACGATGATAGAAATTATGTGTGCCATAATTGTGAGTCTGAGTAAAAGACTAATACTGAATAGTCTGATTATAAAAAAAAATATTATCATATAATAATTTATCTTATTTAGAGCAAGAATAATTTGTTTTCTTAACATATATAATTTTTGTGAATTTAAAATGCAAATGTTTATCTGTGTTATTAATACAAAGTCTTCTAATAAATAATTTGCTGATTTCTATTTGATATGTCACATTATATTCATTACTAACCCCTTTGTACTGTTACTTTCGACCCACAACGTATTACTTGCGACCTAAATACGTGGTGGAAAGTAACAACTGAGGATTTTTTTTTGAAGTCTCTGTGATTCATATAAAATACACAATATTAAGGTAAATCAAGATACCAATGTAAAGAACATAAACGGAATGTATATATGGCTATATTAATTTCATTTTAATAATTACACCTAACCAGAAACCAAGGTAAAAGTACAAAATGTTACTTTTGTACCCGGTCTCCCCTACAAAACACAACTACAACAATGTCTGCCCTCACGCATCTGCCCGCGTTCGGGTATCAAACTTAATTTGCCACCATCATTGTCAACATTTAATTAAAAATTAAAATTGATAACGAGAAGGGCACTAAATTCAAAAAATACTGGTTAGGTACAGTTAATATTCAAATAACAGTAATTGTGATTTTTCTGATAAATATCTTCTTTACCAAAAATATTATTTTTATCTTTTCAGTAGTGTTGGCAAATACTTGATGTGTTTTTATTTTTTTGGATAAAAATACTTTATTGATAGACAGGATAATATGATGAAATATTTCGACTGTCAGTTCAAGCCAGGAGAAAGATATTTAACTATATTATATAACTTTTCTGTTTCAGGAAATAGTTTTCTTCATCTTCCATTTCGTAACGAATGCGTTCAATTGTTATATAACATATTTTTAAGTGCTAAAGCGTTGTTTCTGTTTTTACAGGTCAACTTTAATTCCAAAACTTCATACCTGTTTACTTTGGAATTCTTCTTCACCTCGCTTAATGTAAGTTTTCACTAGTTGTTGTAGTCACTAATGATGTAAGAAGAAAACCTTTAACCTCTCTTCACCTATTTACTTGTTAACAATTTTATTTACAATTTTTTTTTATTATAACCTTAAAAAAATTAAAAGAGTTTTTGGATCATAAGTTATGCTGTTTAACACTAAAACCCTAATGCAGCTTCAAAGTATGAACTGTATTTTTGTGGTAAACGCACTTTCAACCGTTTAGTGGCGTTATCAAAATATCCACTAGTTCCATATCCAGGAGATTGGCAGCTGTATCTTTCTAATATAACTTTTTTTAATTTCTATTAAAGTGTTTGACTATTAGCCGGTCAACAGTTTCAAAAGCAAGTTTTAGAAATAGTAATACGATAATTCTGCAACTGAAAGTGTAGGCATTTATTGATAGCTATTTGTTAATAACCTGGGAAAACATATTTCTTTAGTATATAACCTGTCTACTGATTCAAATGTGATTCTACAGGTGCTGATATCAATGAAATCAAAATCTCACGTAAATTTTGATTCCTTAAAACAAACAAACAAGTAGTAACATAATACCTAAAGTCCAAATAAAAAAACCAAATCGCTGACTAACCGCGTCTTTTTTATGACTGGAAGGATGCCATCTAGTAAAACCATGAACAATTTGGGATGCAGTTTTATTTGTAGCGCAATTTGTTTGATTTATTGTCTTATTTTATTTTTCATAAAATCCTTGAATATTCTGTCTGAGATGGACCGTCCCTTTGGCTACTGGTGTGTGTGTGTGTGTGTGTGTGTGTGTGTGTGTGTGTGTGTATGTGTGTGTGTGTGTGTGTGTGTGTGTGTGTGTGTGTGTGTGTGTGCGTGAGTGTGAGTGTTGTGTGTGTGTGGGAGTGCGCGTGCGCGTGCGTGCGTGCGTGCGTGCGTGCGTGCAAGCGAGCGTGGGTGCGTGCGAGCGTACGTACGTGCGTGCGTGCGTGCTTGCATGCATGCGTGCATGCGTGCGTTGCGGTGTGGTGTCGTGTGGTGTGGTGTGATCTGGGGTGTGTGTAATGGCGTGGTGGGTATGGTGTGTGATGTGGGTAGTGTGATGCGAATGGTGTGGCGAGTGTGGTATGGTGTGAATTTTTTATAGGATAAGGGTGACAAACGGGCACACAGTCCATCTGATGGTAAGTGGTTGATGCGGTAATTAGACATCTATATCTATCCTCTATTATAAATCAAAATGCAGATGCGTTGTCGCCCGTGAGGACTAAGGTGGAATGCCTCATTTCCAGTAAGAAGGGTCTCCGGTTCTCTACACTCACCATAAGAAACACAGCAGCGCTAAGCTGTTATTTTACGCTGGTATTCTGTGAGAGCGTGGTTTTTTCCCGGTCGATTCGACCCATTCGTACTACAACTATACTACTAATGTAGCTGCAGCATGGATCTACTACGTAAATGTGTGGTGTGGTGTGTGTGGTGTGTGTGGTGTGGTGTGTGGTGTGAAGTGTGTAGTATGTGTAGTTTGGAGTGTGGTCCGTGGCTTGTGGTGTGAGTTGTGTGGTGTGGTTGATGTGAGGCGTGGTGTGTGGTGTGATGTGGTTTGTGGTATGTTGCGGTATGGTGTAAGGTGTGTGGTGTGGTGTGGTGTGTGGTGTTTGATATTTGGTGTGTGGTGTGTTGTGTGTGGTGTGTGGTGTGTGGAGTGTGGTGTGTTGTATGTGGTGTGTGCTGTGTGGTGTGAGGTGTGTAGCTTGTGGTGTGTGGTGTGTGGTGTGTGGTGTGTGTTGTGTGGTGTGGTGTGTGGTGTGGTGTGGAATGATGCGGTGTGATGTTGTGTCGTATGTGGAGTGGTGTGGTGTGGTTTGTGGTATGTTGTGATGTGATGTGTGGTGTAGTTTGGTGTGTGGTGTGGTGTGGTGTGTGGTGTGTGGTGTTTGGTATTTGGTGTGTGGTGTGTTGTGTGTGTTATGTGCTGTGTGGAGTGTGGTGTTTTGTATGTGGTGTGTGCTTTGTGATGTGCGTTGTGTAGCTTGTGGTGTGTGGTGTGGTGTGAAGTGTGGTGTTGTGTGTGGTGTGGTGTGGTGTGGTTAGGTGCGGTGTTGTGTGGTGTCGTATGTGGAGTGGTATGGTGTTGTGTGTTGTGGTGTGTGGTGTGGTGTGTGGTGTGGTGTGGTGTGTGGTGTGGTGTGGTGTGTGGTGTGTTGTGTGTGGTATTTGGTGTGTTGTGCGTGTGTGTGTGTGTGTGTGTGTGTGTGTGTGTGTGTGTGTGTGTGTGTGTGTGTGTGTGTGTGTGTGTGTGTGTGTGCGTGCGTGCGTATGCGTGTGTGTTTTTGTGCGCGGGTGTGCGTGTGTGCGCGTGTTTGTACATGCGTGGGTGCGTGTGAGTATGTGCGTGTGCCTATGCGTGAGAATGTGCATGTGCGTGTGCGTTTGCGTTTGTGCGCGCGCGCGTGTTTGTGTGTGTGTGTGTGTGTGTGTGTGTTTGTGCGTGAGTGCGTTCGTGCGTATATGCGTGAGGGCGTACGTGCGTGCATGAATGCGGACGTGCGTGCGTGTAGATCATACACATAAACTGTTTCATTTAATGAGTACTATTTTTGGATTCAAACAAAAACACATCTCGAATTTTGCTGTTGTTTGTTACAGATTTATGCCATGCTTTGCGTCATATCACAGTTTCAAGAGTACTTGGAAGGTCGAGGTACCGCTGCTTTTGATTACTCGGACAGGGTGAGTCATCAACATTGTTGTTAAGTAAATTGCTAGGCCCAAATGCACATTTAAGGAAATATTTGATCCAAGTTAATTTTTCTTAAAGATAAATAATGTTTGATAAATAACTATACATTTCGATTTGTTTGCTATGAAGACGCTCTTTCATTTCTATGAATACTTTAACATGCTGGCAGCGGTGGGATAAATCTACCAACAAAATTCACCATGCCTAAAAATTTCAGTACTTAATTCTTTTTCTGCCGACTTCCAAAAAGGAGACGGTACTCAATTCGACTGTATGTTTTTTTTTTATATGTGTTACCTCATAACTTTTAAGTGGGTATACCGATTTCGATGATTCTTTCTTTATTTGAAATCCGGTACTTCTCGTGTAGTCCCATATGAATTTGATCAAGGTCAGACCAATAGTTATTAAGTTATTCTTAATTACTTATATTGAAGTCGGCTGTACAAAATTTTTAATTAATAATTACAGTTTATTGTTACCCGGTCTCTTAAATTCACTTATAGCCTTAATATGCTCAGTTTCTATTCTAATATCCTCCTTCGATATTCAATGTTCTAAATATGAGAGTTGTTCCACCCCAAATACACATTTACTTTTATTTAAGGTTATTCCCTCCTTGGTTAGTCTAGATAAGGGAAGTCCTTAAAACTCTATTAAGTTCCTCTATATTAGATTCATAAATAAGAATATCATGCATATGGATAGCTACCTTAAGGTCTTTAAGCAAATTAGAAAAATTCATGCTAAAATATTCAGGAGCACAACTAAATCCAAATGGTAGTCTATTATAAACATATCTACCAAATGGGGTTATTATTGTAGTAAGTTTTCTTGACTTTTCGTCAAGTCGTATTTGATGAAAGCCTGATGTAGCATCAATTTTTTGAAAAATATTTGGCTCCTTTGAGCTTAACTAAAATATCTTCGACTTCAGGTATAGGATAAACCGGGCTTTCAATATTTTTATTAACTTTTGTGTAGTCGCCACAAATACGTATCTTATTATTTTTATAAACTATTACAGTTGGTGAAACAAAATCGGAAGGCTCTGCTATTGGACTAATAATGCCTAGGCGCTCTAATCTATTGAGCTCTTCTTTACCTTTAGGTAATAACGGAATAGAAACATGTCTAGGAGAACTTTGTATGAAATATTGGGGATTGTCTATTAATTTTATGTTGAATTCACCTTTGAATACTCCTGACTCATCAAATATATTTGGAAATTCTTTTTCAACATTTACTTGGCTAACTAAACCTGAATTAGGTTTTATTAAAGGACAAATTGATATAACTTTCATCTCTTCTAAAACTGGGCGTCCTAGAATTGCAGACTTTAACCCGTCAATTATATAAACAGTACATACATTTGTTTTAGTCTGATAAACTAGCCCAAGTTAATTTTTCCTAATACCTGCAATTTACCTCCATCATCTCCCATTATTAATTTCTCACACTTCTCTAATGGCACATCTTTAGATATTTTTTTTGATATGGCACATATATCTGCTCCTGTATCTATAAGAAAATTTAATTTTGTAATAAATGACAGATTATAAAATATTTCTCAATTCACTCTACACTTATTTTTGTTATTCATACTATCAACCTGCAAAATAACCTCCATGTCTGCAAAGCACTCTTTTAAAACTGGTTTTAGGAAATTAGCCTTGCATAATTTAGAAAAATGACCTATACTTCCACACTTAAAGCATCTTGATTTCAGTGTTGGCCATTTTCCTAAGGGTGCCTTTCATTACCGCAGAACCAGCAGCTACCTTCACCTTTCACACTGATTTTGTTAATTTCGGGACCTCCTTATGGAACTCGAAGTAACTGCTTGGCCTCTTCAATTTGTATTTATGCTTGTTTGCATAGCATCACAGCATCTTTAAGAGTTAAGTCGTATTGAAGCAATAGTCTCTCACTTGTTTTCTTATCATTTATGCCGATAACTAATCTGTCCCTGATTAAGTCTTCTTTAAGGTATTCTTCATATTCACAATTTTCAGCCAATATGTATAAATCCGTTATAAAATCATCCACCCTTTCACTTTTCTGTTATTTACGACTATTGAACTTATAACGTTCGTATATGATGTTGTTCTTTGGCAGAAAATAATTGTCAAAGCATTTTACCAATGCCGAAAAATCACGACCTTTTCAAACTGAATCACAATTTCTGCTGATCTTTCTCCCATTTGGTACATTAACCAATTGATTTTCTTCTTCAGACATACCATTTTCTCCCGATAATTTTAATAATCGAGCAAACCGGGTGGAAAATTGTTCTGGAGCCGCCGCTGCTGGGAAGGACGCCATTTTGACTGGTCTACTTATAACACTTTTCTTAGACTCAATAACTTTTTCTTCTTTTTTCTATTTTTCTGATTTCCGCAAACATATTTTTCTTCGTTAATTAACTATTTTAACATTTATTTTCCGCTGCCACCATGTTATGTATGTATGTATAAATCGACTATATTGGCACCCTTATACTCACTGTTAAAGGAGAATAATTTATGTCAGTAGGGTATGTATCAAAAGAAAGCATTGAAAGATATAAAAAGTACATTAGTAGCGGCACCAACTTTAGCACATTTTGACCCGAATTTAGAAATAGTAATATCCGTAGATATTAGTTCTTATGGGTTAGGAGTATTGACGCAGTATTGACGCAGAAAATCAAATTTCGAAATAAAGTTGCGGTAGTATATATGCTAGAAGGGCTCTCACGGATTCGGAGAAGCACTATGCCCAAATTGAAAAAGAATGTTTAGCACTTGTGTGGGCTATAGAAAAGTTTATGGATTATATTATGGGAATTCATATAACCTTGGAAACTGACCATAAGTCTTTGATTCAAATCTTACATTCAAAATCATTAGATGAATTAAGTCCCACATGTTTTCGATTCAGGTTAAAGTTAATGCGTCATATACTGGTTGTCCCAAAAATAATAATAATATTAACAGTTGCAGATCCTTAATCAAGACAATCTCTCACACATACCTGTAATGTCATAGTAAAACTATAAATAATAATACAATAATTCTTAATGCAGTATCTAGTTTGAATAACTTAGATAAAATAAAATTAGAACAGGATAATTGTAGCATTTTCAAGCAAATCAAAAGCTATACTGTACATAGTTGGCCAAGCAAAAATAAAATTACAGGAGAATTAAAAAACTGTTATCAGTACAGGTATTGTTTTTCAATAGAGGATGACATACTGTGTGGTTATACCAAAATTTTTACACTTAAATTATAAAACTGCCTGGGTTAGTTTATCTCTTTGTGTTCCATTAGAGATGATCCTAATGTTTTGCTTAAATTTTTAAAGGGGAGGAAGTTGTAGCACCGATATTTATGTAAGTGTCAGTATCGATATTGGGCAGCCAAACCAGTCTAGGTCTTATGTCTATGTGAATCAAGATATCTATGGGGGAGAATTAAAGATGGTGACTAAATGCGTACACGCTGTTTCATTTCTATGAATACTTTAACAAAATCTATTTTTGTTTTTGTGTACATACATTAAATTAGATACTTATACACATAACACTGAAACGTCATTTGATAAAAAAATTAACAGTTGCGTTTTGACATATAGATAAAGCAAAAATGTAAACGAGGGAATCTCGATAGCTCGAATTTCGTTAAGTCATCCTCAGTAAGACGAAAAACTTGCAATGCCCTTCCGCTGAGCCCAAAATACTCGGTATCTTATTTAATGGTAATTATTTAGTTTCTGCAACTCCAGCAAAATGTTATTTCTCTGCGAGGTATTGATATTATCGACATATTATTTATACTTTAACTCGAATTTCAAGAAGATGACTCCGTCAGTTGAAGTTAGTAAAACATAACGACGTCTTACTTGGAATTCCCCGAAATCATAGAAATATTTGTTTCTTCTGTTTTATTTGTTTGGGAAAGAAATCCGAACTCATTGCTTAGTCGAAAACTCACTAAGAGCACTCTTACAGTTCGGCGTTTCGCAAATTTAGGTATTTTACGAACCGAGCGGACGGTGCGGACGGCGAGCTACGCGACCGATACTTTCTTTCATGTCTATTTACTCGCTCGCACTATAATACTGTGAGTATGGCGATTAAACGATATTCCTCCATAATACAAGTTTTCTTAGGATGGACTTCAGTGGATGGAAATTTTTTTGGTCTGTCATTTTAATGTTATCTTATTAATTTATTATTATATAATTATAAATTTATTATTTATTGTTATACACCATTATTTACCACCAATATTTTGATTATTTATGAAATTTACTATCAAAATAAGTACACATAAATATTTTAATTGTTACGCCGTAATCTAATGTTGATAATCATTTAACTTCAATAAGACCGTCACTGTATAAGCCATTAGGTGAGAAGCCCTCAAATAACAATGATCTAGATCAATGATTAGACCACATTTTTCTATAATAATATTTTCTTGTTTGCTCAATTGTGCCAATGCTACAGACTCGTTGTCCCTACCATGTTTAATGAAAGAGACGTGATCTAAATTATACTATATTAAATAGTTTTAAACCGATCGAACAAAAACTGCGGTCGTAGTTGACGATGCTCTAGCACGCAGGCAATCGACGCACACTACGGTAGTATAGAAACGACGCAGCGCGCGAAATCAACTGACACAGGTCAAACCTCGACAAACGCTCGCGCGATTGTGGCCGCAGAAGGGCGGCGCAGTGAAATATATAGTACTATTATTTAATTAATTAAAATATAATAGTAACCATTTAAAAGGTAAAAATAATAGTTTAGTTTAAGCAAATGTTGATATTTATTTTGGTATAAATTTTACGTCTAAATTATGTAGAACTTCGGAAATATAGAGGCTTTTATCGAAGCTTTTTCGGTTGTTTTTTGAAATATATCAATTTTTTTTTCCTAACATGAAAGGCATATAACGAAAATGTATTCTATAATTATTTAAGTGTAGGCTATTTGGAAAATAAAAATATTTTTTTTGATATC